CCAGGCGGGAGTGGGCTGTCGGGAGGGGCGCCGCGACCTTGGGCAGCAGCTGCCCGCGGGTCCGTGTCCAGCCTCGCGTCCTTGCGAGGTGCTGGCAAGGAGGCCCCGGGGAGTGCCCTTCCTCCTCAGGACTCCGGGCGACCGTGCGCACCTGCCGTGTCCTGGCTTTGAGCCCACGCGCGCTAGTCCTTTCCCAGGGGTACTGACCGCTCCCTGAGTTCTCCGGTCCTGGTTTTTCTAAGATGAAAACTTTGCACTTATACCTTCATCCTCGACTCGCGCTCATGCTTTTAACAATTGAGAGCTTTTATCAGTCTTGGCTGTTTACTCGTTAGAGGTGCCTCCAGCCCAGTCTCATCCCCGGTACTGGCGAGCGGGTTCCGTGCCTCCTGGAGGGTCAGCGACTCTGAGCAGGTGAAGACAATAGATACTTGAGTTCCTGGGCGCGGCTTGTCCTCTGCCAGGGCCGGGTGTGGAAGGGAGAAGTGGTGGGCCCAGCGAAGACTGCTGGGAGCAGGGAGAGGACGTGAATCAAGAGACAAGAATAACATTTTTTTTTAAAGTTTCAGGAAAAAAATTAAGACAAGTTAACAATAGGAAAAAAAAAGAAATTTAAGAGGCTTGAACTAGAGGAACCCACAGATCTAATTTTGGAAGCGTTGTGAGCTGTAGCTGAAGAAGTTACAGGAAGAGGCAGAACTTGAATTGGCCAGATAATCTCTGAGCGTTAATAGCATAGTGTGCGGCATAGGCGTTATGAACCCATTTTTGACGTACGCTTTCACAGAGTTTAGAAAGTTACTAAGAGATAAAATCACTCAGAATGAAAAAATTTCCATTTGAGACCAGATTCGGGGGAGCCAAGGCCTCTTCCAGATTCATAATTGTTTGAAATGTATATATTTGGTTGGAAATTGATCACGGACAAAAGATGCCCAGTATGTTGACTCATTTGTGAAGTGACCAACAGAAACAGGCAAAGCCCAGAACACCACCATGGGGTTCATGAAGACGCGGGAGGGGTTAAAGGCTCAGGGAAAGGCAGGTGAGGATTTTAAGTTAGTTGTGAAGCAGACTGTTTATTTGCCACGGAGGATACAGAGGCTGGAAAAGCCGGCGGTGTGACACTTAAGGGAGACAATCGTATATTAAAAAAATCTACAATTTTGAGATGGATGCAGTTTTCTCACTTTGCATAACCAACTTGTAGAATCTTTGGAATGCTTTAACTCTCCCATTTATACTTACCAGGGAGTTTCTACTGATGAAATTATTATTTTTTTAAATTTATGTGTGTATTTTACAATATCATATTTTTTAAATTGATGAGTAATTGATGTACAGTAGTATGTGTTACAGGTATACAATACAGTGATCCACAATTTTTAAAGTTTGTACTCCATTTGTAGTTAGTATGCAGTATCGGCTCTATTCCCCATGTTGTACATCCTTGCACTTACTCTATACCTGATAATTTGTACCTCCTACTCCTCCACTTCCATCTTGCCCCTCCTCCTTCCCTCTCCCCCTGGAAACCACTAGTTCCTTTTCTACATCTGTGAGTCTGTTTCTTTTCTGTTATATTCACTAGTTTGTTATATTTTTTTTTACATTTTTTAGTTATATTTTTTTAAGATTCCACATGTGATATCTTACAGTATTTGCCTTTCTCTGTCTCACTTACTTCACTTAGCATGATGTCCTCCAAGTCCATCCATGCTATACACCAGAAACTGATGCATATTATTATTATTAAAGTACAGTCAATTACAGTGTGTCAGTCTGTGGTGTATAGCACAATGTCCCAGTCATGCGTATTCATATATATACTCATTTTCATATTTTTTCCATTCAAGATTATTACAAGATATTGAATGTAGTTCCCTGTATTATACAAAAGAAACTTTAAAAAAAATCTATTTTTGTATATAGTGGCTAACATTTGTAAATCTCAAACTCCCAAATTTATCCCCTCCCACCCCCTTTCCCTGGTAACCATAAGATTGTTTACTTAGTCTGCCAGTATGTTTCTGTTTTGTAGATGAGTTCATAGTGTCCTTTTTTTTTTTTTTTTTTTAAGATTCCACATATGAGTGATATGTGGTATTTTTCTTTCTCTTTCTGGCTTACTTCACTTAGCATGACATTCTCCAGGCCCATCCATTTTGCTGCAGCTGGCATTACTTTATTCTTTTTTATGGCAAATTAGTATTCCATTGTGTAAATATACCACAACTTCTTTATTTAGTCATCTGTCAGTGGACATTTAGGTTGCTTCCATGTCTTGGCTATTGTATATAGTGCTGCTGTGAACACTGTTGTGTGTTAATACAACATTTTAAATCAACTGTACTTCCATTAAAAAGCAAACAAACAACCCATTTAAAATATGGGCAGAAGAACTGAACAGACATTTTTCTAAAAGAGGAAATGCAGATGGCCAACAGGAACATGAAAAGTTGCTCAACATCACTAGTATCAGGAAATGCAAATCAAAATCACAGTGAGATATCATCTCACAGCTGTCAGAAAGGTCATCATCAAAAAGAACACAAATAACAAATGTTGGCAAGGATGTGGAGAAAAGGGAACCCCGTACACTGTTGGTAGGAATGTAAATTGGTGCAGCCATCATGAAAGACAGTATGGAGGTTTCTCAAAAACCTAAAAATTGAACCACTATATGGTCTAGCAATTCCACTCCTGGGAATATACCTGGGAAAAACAAAAACATTAATTCAAAAAGATACATACAGGCCACGATTAACAGCAGCATTATTTATAATTAAATCTAAGATTCATAATGGTAGCATTTGTTAAAGGATGAGATAGATTTGTGAAACAGTATCAAAGCACACATTTTGCTTTTAAAGTATCTAAACCAGCCCTATCCAATACTAGCCATTAAAAACAAACAAACAAAACCTTTCAAAGCACTTTGCAAAGTTTTTTAATGCAAATTAAAAGTCAGTGCACTAAATTCTTTAGCTTTTTCATGAAGACTCCTCTCCAGTGCCTCAGTTCTCTAGCAAGGTCAAGCTGTTCTTATTTGATACACCCACTGGAACTCAGGAGGCTGCAGGGCTCCCCAAAGGCAATGAAAGAAGCAAGAGCAGGAGGAAGCAACTGCCTCTTTAATTTAAAAAAGAAAAAAAAGCTAATTTGTCAGTGGAAGCAGCTGATAAAGGATATATATCTCACCTGCAGAAGACTCTTGGCCTAGGACATGTGGCCCGGAGGAGGAGGTGCTGGCAAGAGCAAAACAGCTGGGCATACTGATGAAATTCTTAAGGGAGGAAAGAGAAGTTCTTTGCTATTTTATTTGCTTGATTTAAATGTTTAAAGATAAAGTCTTTTTTGTTGAAGGTTTTGATACGTCTTTTCATTTGTAAAATGTAATTTATAAACAGGTAATTATGGTATATCTCTCTGTTGAGGATCTTGACAACTGAGATGCTTTAGAAGCTAATAATTTAATATGTGTAATCACTGAAAAAAAAGAATGATAGCCACCTTCTTACATGTTTATGAAGAATGTAACTTCTGGATAAGATTCCGTTAAGTCAGTTTGACTTCCTGGTCAACTTTTATATATGGCATGGTTAAATACTTTCTAAACGTTTCTATTAAAAAATTACTGAAATACTTCAGTGGAATCATACGAATTGTTTAACAGTATAGATTTGTTACATTCAAATACTTCAAATTTGCTATGAATATAATCTTTTTGTGTCTACATAAAATTCTGCCAACCACAGATTCTATCATTGTGACCTTTGTTCATACCTTTGTTGCAACTGTCTCTAATTTCTATAGCTAAAATTTTCCAGATCTAAATTTCTTCGAAAAGATTTGTTTTGCCATGTTTTGGTCAAAAATAAGTTTTCCGTATGCCATTTAAGGGACTGTCAATTTTATTTTGTGTTGTCTATTTCTACCAGTAACAACCTTTTTCTCCTTTACAAAGAAGAGTAACGCTAAGGCGTAGGATCTGGAGGTGTAATGGGGTCAAAATGCCTGTCTTTACTTTCAGTGTAGGCCTCTCCCAGCTTTCTGCTTGCAGCCCAGTTCTCTCTTCACGTCTAGACCACCTGTCTCCTTGTCTTTTAGATATTCAGAGGCATTGCGAAAACATAGTGTGTTCAGTGTTTAGTTCTTGACTTCTCCAGATCTGCTGCCTCATCTCCGTAGTCTGACCTCTGGTTCACCTACCTCTTACCTCAGAAGTGAGGGCTCTCCTTGCTACCTCTCTCTCCTTCCCCGCTGGCCCCCACCCAGTCCATTCACCTGCCCTCTAATCTTAGCTGTCACCACTTACTGCCTAGGCTAATTCAGTAACTTCTTAACTGGCTTCCCTGTTCAGAGTCATCATAGGCCTCGTGTATTTTTCACATAGCAGCCAATCTAATGTTGCTTGTTTGCTTAAAAGCTCCTTTTATTTTAGGATAAACTGTGAACATGGAAGAGCAGACTCTCAGCCTGTCTCTGCTTATCTCGCACCATTCTCTCCATTGTTCCCTGTGCTGCAGCAGCCGTATTTAGTTTTTAGCTAAAGCAGTCTCACCCCCGCTCAGGGCATTTGCATATGCTGTTCCTGTCCTTCAAATACCTACTTCCCTGTTCCCTGTGGTTAGCTGTTAAGAATTCTTCAGTCTCAATTTAGATGCCTTTTTCTCAGAATGACCTTCATAACCCTTTAGCTAATATCGGGTCTTGTAATAGTTGCATGTTTTTCATAGCACTCATCCCAATTTATAACTTCTCATAAGTTAAGAGGTTCTGGATTTCATGTCTGTGTTTGAACTCAACTCTAAGGAACTTGAAGGTAGGGACCAAACCTGTTTTGTTCAGTACAATGTTGCCAGTACTCAGGCCGTTACAGATGAGAAGAATGTTGATGAGTGACTTAATGAAATAATGTTATTTTTCCTGCTTTAAAGGTGACAAAACTAAGCTTTGGGAAGGTGGTAAGTACCTTGACCAAGGCTTCATGGCTTGTCAGTGGTGGATGTGCCATTCATTCATTCCTGTTCACTCACACATTCATCAGATGTTTGAGGATGTGTTTGTCAGGCCCAGCAAATACAGTAGCGGCCCCAGCTGAGTATGTTCTGGTCCTCATGGTGTTGATGGTGTAGTTGGGGATACAGTAAGTGAGCAGACCGCAACTGCAGGTGAGATCTAAGGACAAGTGTGGGTGAGGCTCATGAAGCGCTGTGGCTCGTGGTGGTCTGGGGAGGCCGTTTTGAGGAAGGAGCTTCTAAGCTCGAGGCTTCGTGATGAAAAAGAGCCAGTCCTTTGAGGAGTTGGGGGTGGGGGCTCAGGGCTGTGTGGCTCCAAAGCTCGCTCCTGAGCATTGTGCTGTGCTGTGGATTTTATTCTGAGTGGGATGATTAACTTACTTTGATTATTTTTATCTGTGTAACACCACTAAATACCTGAAGTGACAGGAAGCTTATTTCCATTCACTGATGGGTTCTAGAGAAGCAGATTGTTACTTAGTGTGTAGCCAGAACTTGTGAGTGGACTCAGGAGTGATGGATACAGAGGGCCACAGATTCTCATTCTCCCAGCAAGAGGTGAGGTCTGTCTGTTCTCCACTTGAGTCTAGGTTGGCCTTGTGACTTGCTTTGACAAACAGACTATCCAAAAAAGTGAAGAGAATGGAAGATTTAAACCAAATGAAAATTTTATAGATTAAAAAGGCATTTATTTTATTCCTATTTTTGCGTCCTTTTAAAAAAAGATTTGAGAGTTAAATTTTGTCTATTTAATGCGGCAGAAGATAAATGATAATTTTAGTGAATTAATGGATTTCAAACACACAGAACTAATTTACTGTGTTGTAAAATAAAATATGACTTTTCTGTTGCCATTTAAAAGAAGCCCTAAACATGCATAATTTGAGACTCAAAAGACGTGTGGCTTTGGAGTAGATGTACCTTTCCTGTTCCTCCCACTAATTTCAGCTAAAAACACGGCCATTATAAATAAAACAAACCTGAGACTGACAGTGCAGAGAAGACAATGGACTGGCTCAGTAGGGGGTCCTGAGAAGTGACACAGACGTGGTGTCCCAGAGCAGAGTTTTCTTTTTGCTCCGAACATCTCAGCCTTGCGCCTGGAGAGGCCAGCAACCCAGCAACTCCAAAGGGCTCAGACAAGCCCTAAGAAAAGCTTGATCTCTAACTGAAAGACCAGGAAAGGGACAGCCTGCCAGACAGGACATGTTTAGGAAACGTTGTCGCCCCCACCTCACCCTTACTGTCATGGCCAGCTGGGGAATCTAGACTTCCACCCTTGACAAGCTGTGCTGAGGCGACTCTCTGTGCCTGGTGAGATCAGAGGCCTGGTGAGGAGCTGGGATTTTCATCTGTTGGGTGGTCGCAAAGAGCATCCTCCCTCTTCCTGTTGGGTGGCCTCAGAAGAAGCTTAGTAGAGATTCAGGAATATTACCGTCACCCGCTGGTAGTGAGGCCGTGTAAGTTGCAGTAACCAGGCACCCCTGGTTCGGCCTGGGTGGTATGAGTGGAGGCCAGGGAAGAGGCTGAACTCTAACCCCGCCCGGCAGTAGTGGGGAGGACCTCCACCCTGGGCCAGCAGTGGTGCAGTGGGGAACCCTAACTTCCATCTCCACCCTCACATCCACCTGGCGGAAACAAGGCAGCACCCTTCTTTGCCGGCTGTCTGCTGACATGGAGACTTAAATCGGTTCCCAAGTCTGGTCACAGTACCCACAGTGTTGAGACTTCAGTTGATAATCAGATTTCCCACACAAGCTGGGAAAATCTCAACTTGAATCAGAAAAGACAGCTGACAGCAACACCGGAATGATGCAGATGTTACAGTTATCTGACAAGGATTTTAAAGCAGCCATCATCAAAATTTTTCGATGAGCAGATCCTAACACTTGAAACTGATGAAAAATAGGGAATCTCAGGAAGGAAATGGAGGATATAGGTAAGAAACAAATGGACGTGTTAGGACTGAGATTCAGATGAGTTCATGGATGGCTCAGCAGAATGGAGGGACAGGAAGGAGGCCGTGACCTTGAAGCTAAAACAACAGGAACTATCCCATCCGAGCAACAGAGAAAAAACACAGACTGGGAGAAAGCAGACAGTCAGGAAGCTGTAGGACTGTAACAGGAGACCTGCAATTCTTGTCGGAGTCCCCGGAAGTCCTCATATTCTTCAACATGGATTTGAAGAAATACTGGCCGAATATTCCCCAGATTTGGCAAGCCTGCAGATTCAAGAAGCTTAGTGAAACCGAGACAAGATAAACTCAAAGAAATCCATGCTTAGGCACATCATAGTTGAGCTTCTGAAAACTGAAGATGAAAAAGCAGCAAAAGAAGAACATCACTTCACCTGTGGTGGGTTTCTCATCAGAAACTACAAAGGCCCGGAGGAAGAAGCATGCTTTTCAAGTGCTGAAGGAAGAGAACTGTCAACTCAGTTCTCTCTCAAGTGAAAACATCCTTGCATGATTTGTCACCAGCAGACCTACCCTAAAACGATGGGTAGAAGAGTCTCTAAACAGGAAGTGACGTAAGGAGGTAGGCGGGCCAGGAAGAACGAACACACTGGTAAACTCCATAGACATTTCTCTAAATTAGATTTGAAGGATGAAGCATAGCTGTCTGCTGTGGCTCTTAGTGTAGAGGAAGTACTTCAGATGATTGTCAGTGGGGGTGGGGGTGCAAAGGGGCAGAGGAAATAAGGTTTCTACACTTTACCAGGAACTGGTAGGGTGTGGACAGTCAGTGGACTGTGGTAAGCTGTGAAAAGATAATGAAAAACTAGGTTGGCCCCTAAGAAAAGTTAGGTGAAAGAGAAACTCACTTTAGGTAAATCAAAATGAAATTCTAAAAAATGTTCAAGTAGCCACATACAAAAGGAGAACAGAGAATGAATTATGCACCATGCCCAAGTGAGATTTATTCCATGGATGTAAGTTTGGATAAATATTTGAAAATTACCAGCGTAGTTGACCTGTTAGGAGGCTGGAAAAGAAAATAGAGTAGGTGATGCCCAGAACCTGCGGCTGAAGTGGGTGGGTGTCACGTGTAACTACATTGCTTAGAACCATGTTACCCAACAGGGATGTGACTGTCTTGGGGGAGGACTTGGTAGTTAGAAGGAAATGATCAGATCATGCCCAGAATGGGTGAATGAAAGTGTTCAGGTTGTGCAGATGTTTGAATGACATGTAAGGGCAGCCCTGACCGTGGGCAGCACTTGGAGTGGGGCTGGTTCCCAGCGAGCCACATTCTGAGCATGCAGGAACATGCTGGAGTTTGGAGGCAGAAATACCCTTAGTGTTTTTCACGTTGACGAAAATGATATTATTTTATCATTGGGTTAGATAAGTCATTAAAATTTCTGTAATTTTTACTTTTTTTTTATTGTGGCTACTAGAAAATTTATAGTGCATGTGTGGCTTGTCTTGGATTTCTCTTGGACAGCGTTGCTCTAGAGTCTGAAGTCTGGAATGTGCAGTTAGAATGGGTTCCATCTGAGGAGCAGGCCTGGGTGTGGAGAAGATGGGCTAAGGGAGAGCTGTTCTTTATTCTAAGCCCTTCTTTGCTGTTTACTTTTTAAAGCATATTAATGAAATTTGATGAAAAGTTACCTCTTTAACAAAGGCTATAGTCTCTACCTTAAAACGTTAATTTATCACATTCTAATTGACATGGTAAATGTTGATATAGTAAGGAAGTTTGGAATGAAAAGCAGTAATCGCCTTGTTCATTATGTTTCCTTCATTTCACTTTGCTATATCAGAAATAAAGTACCTGTTTTTCCTGCATCTGTTCAGCTTATTGCAGGAGTGACCAGGACATCGCCTTCTTGAAGTAATGCCCACAGAAAGCGGGAGTTGTTCAACTGCTCGCCAAGCAAAACAGAAACGCAAATCTCATAGCCTTTCTATACGAAGAACTAACAGCTCGGAGCAGGAGAGGACGGGTCTACCGAGAGAAATGTTAGAAGGACAGGTGAGTTGGTGCTGATCGTGTTTGTGAAGTTTCAGAAATAGCCAGAGATACACAGGTCTCCAGAGCAGGGAAAAAGTGTGGGTTACCAAGCAAACAGCACCCCTACGTAAACCAGGTCGAATTGCACAGAGACAGAATTCGTCCCCAGGTTAGTGTGTTTACCATGCTTAATGAAGAATGTGGGTGTGATGGTTTGGGTTGGTTTTTATTCTTCGCACAGGTATCTACATTCTTTGCCAGTGCAGCTTTAGATTTTTTGTCTCTGTCTCAAGAAGAGAAGAGAATCAGGTATAGTGATCTCTGCTCTCTGGAGAGCTTTTGGAATCCAGTCTTTCAGTAGCTTTTCTTGGGTTTATTGTGTGTCTGCTGTACTGTGTATGTTTTCTGTGGTTTATTACATTGTCTGTCTTTCTGATAATTTAATGTCCCCTTTAATTAAGTGATCTGATGTTTTGTTGATAGGGATAAGTTTGCTTGTAGTTTTCCTTTTTGGGAGTGGGGGTGGTAATTAGGTTGATTTATTTGTTTATTTTTTCATTTAACTTTTTTTTTGATGGAGGTACCGGGGATTGAGCTCAGGACCCTTGTGCGTGCCAGGCATGCCCTCTACCACTGAGCTATACCCTCCCCCCACCCTGAAAATGTGTTAGTTTTAAAAGAACATTATTGTGAAGCCTAAATAAAAGTATATGCTATAGTAAGATAAATTGTAGGTATATCTGTTACATGTTTACATAGGTGTAAATATGTACTATAATGTATGTATAAAATAAAAATATGTGTAAATTTATAACCATTCCTTCACAATTAGAACTAATTCATTGGCCGTAATGTTACAGGGGAATATGGCTTAAATCTGAGGAATTGGCTCATTTGAGTATTGGAGCACCCGGCCCCTGGAAAGGCAGCTTCTGGGGAGGCGGCAGCGCACAGTCAGAGCCTAGCACCGTGGCTGGCACGTGATCACTGTTCAGCTCAGACCCTGTTACATATTGAATGGATGAATAAATGAAATGATTACATTTTAACTTGAGTTTGGAGATGAAATGATAGATTTTAAGGAGCCTTCAGGATGGCGTGGACAGTCTAGTGAGCCCTGCTGCCGTGACAGCAGCACAGCTGGGCGCTCAGCTGGCAGAGGGTCTGGAGGCAGGAAGTTGAAGGTCAGGTGTGGGCAGGGCTGGTGTCTCCTGGGGCCTCCCTCCTGGGGTGTTGGTGCCACCCTCTCCCTGTACCCTCACGAAGCCGTCCCCCCGTGGGTGTGTGTCCTGATCCCTTCTTGTGAGGACGCCAGTCATACTGGGTGAACAGCCACCTATAGGCTTCATTTTGCCTTGCACCTCATTTAAACCTTTACTCCAGATGTGGTCACACGCTGAGGTGCTGGGGGTTAGGACGTCAGCGTGTGAGATGGGGGACACAAGTCAGCCCACAACACTTAGGAAAAAGAATGTTTGAACGAGTGCTGTGCCATGGAACTTCTGTGATGGAGTGTTCTAGGTGTGTGCTGCCACATAGACACGTGGCTAGTGGGACTGAGGAATTTAAACAATTAACTTACATTTAAATGTAAACAGTCCACTGTGGCTGTTGGCTGCCACATTGGACAGTGCAGGTAGTCCAAGGTGCTTTTTAAAAATGGTTAGACTTCCTTAAATTTCTAGCAGTGGAAAGTCCACAGCCACCTGCTGGCATCTTCTGGACTTAGCTGCTGTGAGGGGCACTGCGCTCCCAGCCTTTTGCGTGCGTGCATGCTCCATTGTGATGTAGAGCCAGCAGGTGATTGCATCTCCAGGTGAGCCTTTATGAGGGCTGTTCAGAACCCTGTTCAGAACCCGGCCCTGGCCTCGTTTTCGTGGCGGTGTCTCCTGGTGAATGCGCAGCTCCGCAGGCTGGCGCGGGCCTCTGCTGGTTCCGCAGCAGCAGGAGGCAGTGCCGCGCTTGACACAGGCATGGTAGGCGTGGGAGGGCCCAGGTGCAGTGCCTCTGGGCAGGGTTGGGAGCAGGGTCAGGAAACTGAAGATGGGTGTGAGGAGCTTCTGTGGTGATGTCGAATGTCTTAGATTCACATCTGAAGTGTTCCAGGAAGTAGTGCTCGGTGCAGAGATGGGAGGAGGCCCTTGTTCAGAAGACAGCTGAGTCTGCGGGAGCGCTGGCTGGGCCGCTGTGTCTTCTTACACGCTGTGATCAGACAGATTCTTTTAAAGGCTTTGCTGAATCACAGTAGCTTTTCTGTTTTAAGTTTTCTCAAGTGGTATCAGACGTTCAGCACCTCTGACTCAGGGGCCTGTGAGGTCGGACGGCACCAGGGCCGGTTCCGTGAGCACAGAGGTGACTGTGCGGAGCTCTCCCACTTGCCTCGGGTGCAAAGGTCTCCTCAGGGCCGGTCTCCTTCATTGATCATTTTTATTTTATCAGGTTAGATTAACGTGACATCTCAGTTCTGACTCCCGTCATAGTTACATTTTAGATGAAGATGTATTTACTGTTCATGTGAATGTAACATTTCAGTTGCTGAATAGTAGGAGCTGAAAGCATTAAACATGGGTGTAGGTGAGTAGGAACTGATATGCTGAAGAGGAGGTTTGGCCTTGGGAGCGGCCCCTGTGAGGCAGGCTGGGTGGATGAGGAGTGCGGGCAGACGTGGTGTTAGGTGTTAAGTAGTGGTTTATTTCAGTTCCACTGTTACTCTAGGTGGGTGCTCATTGGTGTTCAGAGGAGTGTTGAGAGGCTTATTACCAATTCTGCCAGGTTCAGTTTTTAAACAAGGTTTCATGTATCTCTGTAAGTAGCTGGTAAAATCTACCTTCCCTTTCTGTAATTATTGTAAAACATGTTGCTAAAATGTTTGCATCATTAGAGATCATTTTGCCTACGATTTCTGTCTTCCTAAGAAGTTAATCTGAGAAGGAATTTAATAAACATTGTGTATCTTTTTTTATTTGCAACTCATTAAACATCAGAAAGTTCACTCTGCATATAAATTTGAGAAATCACTTAGAAGATTACACAGTAGCAGTTAACTGTTGAAACATTATTTTAGAAATACCTGCTAAGAATTTTGTTAAATTCTCTGAGTGCTTGCGGGGAGGTAGGGGCCCACACAAAATATCCTCTAGGCCACGCCCCGAGGAGGTTAGAGCAGAACATGGACTCTTGGCCTCCCGACGCCAGCGGCATCTGGAAAGTAGTGCTTGTGAACGCGGCTGGTGCCCGGGTCGCGCACCCGCACGTTCAGCCCCGGTGCCGCTGCTGCTTGCCGCTTCCCCACTCCCGGCAGGTGAGGCGGGCGCACCTGGGAACCTGTGCCTATGTTTTCCTGTGGCTGACAGCTGAGAGTTTTCATTTTTCCCTCCGCACAGCAGTGTTTTAGGTATTAAGCAGAGTTTACAGGAAACGATCAGTTTCTTCTGCTTGGAGCACAGCAGACGTGAGGACTCTGAGACAGTCCTGTTAGTAAATGGCTTATTGTAGTGAGTTTGCATACCATGTGGTGGGACTTAAAGACTGTCTCCGATTTCGTTTGTGGGAACTGCTTTCCTTCTGTACAAACTGGGGAGTTTTTGCATGAGGTGCACTTGTTTCTCCCCTTGTAAAAGGGAAAGTTACATGTTTTGAAGAAGTACCATCCTGGGTAACCGTTGATACAATTTGATTTCAGTTTCACTTGTAGAAATTTGAAACTTTAAGTTCTTTGAGTGTTTATGTATAAGAAACAAAATACGTAAAGGCATAAAGCGAAAGTTTAATTAAGGTAAATGATAATTCATTTTGGAAAAAGTGTGTGGGTGCTTGGTGTCGGAGTTCATCATTCGTTCGTTCATTTTAAGCAGAATCTTCCTTTTCTGCAGGATTCTAAACTGCCTTCCTCGGTTCGCAATACGCTTCTGGAGCTATTTGGTCAAATAGAAAGAGAATTTGAAAACCTTTATATTGAAAACTTAGAATGTGAGTATCTCTTATTTTAATAGCCTTTTGTAACTTTTTGCTTATCCATATGAAGATTTGAGAGTTGAACTTGTGGCAGGTGTTCACCACTGTGTCCCTTTCAGTTTTGACAAACTGTAGGGCTCAGGATAGCGCAGGCGTTGTCCTGCAGCCTCGCACCCTCACATCAGGGTGTTGGCAGAGCTGTGCTCCTTCTGGGGGCATCGGGGGGGACTCGCTCCCACTTGTTTGGTTGTGGCGGACTCCACTTCCCCTCAGCTTGAGGACACAGGCCCCATCTGGCTGGCTTTCCTCCCTCTTTACCGTCAGAGCTGTCAGCGGCTCCTCATGCATCTCTGACCCTCTCCTGGGAGCACGTGGGAAGGATGGGTCATGCAGGGTCATCTCCCATCAGAGGTCCTTCCCTCGGTCACACCTGCAAGGTGCCTTTGCCACGAGGTCACACGTACAGCTTATCTCTGGGGCAGGCAGTATTCTGCCAGCCATCCCTGCCAATCCGAGTTAGGATTTTATGAGGAACAAATGCATCTTGTAACTTCTCCTATACAAAGTATACTGTACATTGAGAAACTGTTGATTTGTTTTTCTTTAAAATATACCATATTTAGAGAATTTTCTAAAATGTATGTGTTATCTATTTGACTTGTTAAAGGTAAATCAAAAGAATTTTAAAGTAGCCAGGCCTTTTTTTTTTTAAATTTTAGAAGCAGTGCTTTCATTTGCTTAAGCAACCATAAGTATGAAAAGGAAAGGTTCCCTTTCCCCGCCTGTCAGCTCATCCCACTCTGCAGAGGAAAGCGTTTTCTGCATTTCTTGCTTTTAGTTTTCTCATAATTATGCTTGTAAATTTAAATGAACTATTTCAGCTGTGCCAGCTTCAGGCTGCACACATTCATGCCTCACTGACAGTGTTAGGAAGTGGACCTGTCCTTTACCCCATCTCTGCTCTAGTACTTTCAGTTTTTGTTACTTTTAGAGGGCTTGTGTTTATGGCTACATTTGTCTAATGCAAATTTTATTATCGATCTTTCACGCTTTGTAAGTTGATTCCAAAAATCAAATACTGACAAACAGCATTTGTGTTGTGAAGATACTTTTCACTCTGGAGCTAAGTGTTTGGTGGTCCTGTGTCATGTAAACTTTGCTGATGCACAATTTAATGTTTTAATATTGAATTCTCCTTAGAAGCCCACCTTGAAAATCTACAGAGTGAGAAATTATTTGAACTTTTTACAAAAAATAAAAGTTAGATCCCACGCGCTGCACCTGGTTTTCAGGGTTAGGTGTCAGAGCTGCAGCAACTGAAGCACTGTTGATTTTCCACTGTGATCCAAGGCCCTGTGTTTTATGAGTTGATGCAGTTTGTTCAAGAAAAATTACAGGTTACAAATGACTAATGCTGGAGGTACTTGGAGTTTCCAAACTGTCGATTGCTTAATTGGTGGCTTCCTGCTGTTTGTGACCGTGTTGAAGTTGCTCAGACTGGGTCTGTTCTGAGTCTTTCTTTTGCCCTCAGCCTTCGTCCAGGCTGACCTCGCCTGTGCTCCCTGCACGCTGAGCAGATGTGAGTGGCCCTGGGAGGCGGTGTGGCGTGGCTGGTGGCAGGCACAGGGCCTTAGCACTGGCCGGATGAGTGGCCAGGCCAGGGTCGCGCTGCATCGGTGCTTTGCTCGTGTCCGTGGGCGAGCCCTTCCGCAGCTGGGCCTCCTTCCTCCTGCCCGTGGACAGCGGCCTCCATCTACAGGTGGCCCTGGGCCTGATGCCGGGAAAGCACAGCAGCGTCAGCTTCGTCCCTGCAGTGTCTGCTTCTCCTCGTCTTCATGACGCCTCCGTCCTCTTCGTTCCCCATTCCCTGTGCTTCTGTGCTTCCTGTTCACTTTTCCTTTTTGGGGGAGTGGGGGTGGGGAGAGGTAATTAGGTTTATTTATTTAAGAGGCGGTGCTGGGGACTGAACCCAGGACCTCATGCGTGCTAAGCACGTGCTCTAGCGCTTGAGCTACACCCTCCCCGCTCCTGTTCACTTTTCTTAACTTCCCTTGAACTTTTAATCGTTGAGGTGTGTAACCCTCTCTTGGTGCTGTGTGCCAGGCAGTAGCCAGTTACATTGATTTTTGTGTGTTTTTATCCCCCGGTTTCAGTGTTCTCAGCTAAACTGTGAATATTTCATTGAGTTTCAGACAATACCGGAATAACATTTTCAGGTGTGTAGAATAAAGTACAGAGGAAGGGAGGAAACTGTGTTGAAATCCAAGAGGACCCGGTAGCATAATGTCTTCCTGGTGCAGGAAGGGCGTTGGGGCTTTTATTCTTGGAATGACGTCTTTGAGTTTTTTGAAACTTAGTGAACATGACCTTGTTGATTGGGGTGTCATTTGTGTCTTTGTTTAGACGATAATAAAATGTAACATTTTTATGAGCTCAGTTCTGGGCTTGGTGAGTATATGTAAGAAGTACATGTTTTACTTTTCAGTGAGGAGAGAAATCGAGACTCTCAATGAACGTTTAGCTGCTGAAGGACAAGCAATTGATGGGGCAGAACTGAGCAAGGGCCAACTCAAAACGAAAGGTAAGGCTGACTGCTCGCGCAGGGGTCACACTACAGGTTAGTGTGGAGGAAGTTCGGAATTTGATGGAGGACAGTATTCACTTCCTCTTGCAGTTGGCAGGACCCAGAAGTACATCATTCAGGTGCGGGTATAGGGGAGAGAGGGCCCAGTCAGCCTGGGTTCCTGCTCTGCCCCCTGTTCTGTCAGTGCAGACTTGCCCTCAGCCCGCGCTGCCTCCATGTGTCACAGGGCAGGCGGGGTGAGGGGGCTCCATCTGCCCCAGCCCTGAGTGCTGCGGCTCTTCAGTGTGTGATTGTCCTGATTGCTGATTCTCTGTCTCTGCAGCCAGCCACAGCACGAGCCAGCTTTCTCAGAAGCTGAAGACCACCTACAAGGCCTCCACAAGCAAGGTGCGTGTGGCGCTTGGGCCGTCACGCGGTGTGCAGGGTGTGCAGCTGTGTGTGGTGGAGGGAGACGAACCGAATTTCTGGAAGGAGCCTTGTCGGTGACAGGTGGCCACAGTGCATGGACACCGGGCATCACCTCTGCTCCTCAGTGAGCTTGTATGTTGTGTGTTTGTGAGTGTGGTCTTTTTTGAGAGAAGGTACATTTTGTATTGTTATTTGGCTTAATAAAGAGATTGAATTTGGAGCAAGCTGATAAATGGGTATAAAGCAGTGGAACTTAGGTTCTGAGCTGTGGTTATGTTTCATTCACCTCTTCTTGGGAGAGGGTGTAGCTCAGTGGTAGAGTGCGTGCCTGGCATGCACGAGGTCCTGGGTTCAACCCCAGTACCTCCATTAAAATAAATAAATAAACCCAATTACCTCTCCTGCCTCCAAACACAACAAAATCAGACAAACAAGTATCCACCTCTTTAGTTTTCTGAGTGCAATCAAGAAGTGACAGTCTGTCTCCAAGGCCAATAGGGGCATTTGTAATGTTTTGCTTTTTCTTAAGTTGTTGTGCTGTGACCTTCTTAAAGTGGCAAGGATTTAATTATTTGGGAATTAATTATCTGTGGGGGAATACACTGTGAAGTAGTATTTTGAGGTAGCTTTGTGTGCATCTCCACTTCGGAGTATTTGAAATAAACAAAAGATTAATTAATTACCTAACCTTCCTGAGTGCACATTACTTTTGCTACACCTTAGGGAGCTGTTGAAATTTGTGGTGAGTCGGGTGGGAAGGTGTAAGTAGTTATTGTTAGCTTTTTATTTCCTAGTTTGTTCCCTTGAAGCTCAAAGCCATTTACCTTGGTGCCCACGGCGAGACTCCTGCTTTCTTGAGATGCCTTGGAAGCCTTCTGTTTACAAACAGCCTGAACATCACTGACATTTGCTTGTGTTTCTTTTGAAACTTTAGGGTGTAAGCGGCTAATTAAAAATTACTGTGTTCTGTGTTATCCAGCTTAGGTGCAGTAGTTTTGAAGTTTTTAGTAAATTAACGTTGAACTTCTTTAAAATGCCATGTGAGGTTATGTCTTCCTCATCTAACTTCTTGTTACATTGTTTTGAGTTGCATTGTTTGTTGCACTTTATGTATACAGTGTATGGTCTTAGAATTCCAGTACTTTCTGGTTATTTTGAGGTAGAGGAAGAAAGGATTATGTAATGTTAGCCCTTAGCACGAGTAGTAAAAACTAAAATTTGGGCAAAGGTAAAGGTGTATAGTAATTGCTTTAAAAATGTATTGGAGATATTGAAAGCTGCAGTCATTTTAGAGACTAAAAATTTATCTGCGTTTGTAGGAAGTGTGTGACTCACGACCTCCGTGGCGTTGCGTGCAGTCTCTTTTGTTTGTTTTTGTTTGTGGAGGAGGGAGTTATTAGGTCTATTTATTTATTATTAGTTGCTTTATTTTAGTGGAGGCGCCCAGGACCTCATGCCTACTGAGCAGCTCTCTGCCATTGCATTGTGCCCAACCCTAAAGGGAGACCAGGAAATTCGAGGGGTGATCTGAGACCAGGGCGCACCTGGCCCGGCTGTGGCGTGTGTTCTCGAGGTGGAGCTGAACAGGGTGTAGGCTCCTCACTGCCCTCTGCGGATCAGTGTGGATGGCCTGGACCCTGTGTGGGGAGAAGTGTGCTGAGTGACCCGCTGACCTGCCCCTCCTGGGACTGGTGTCATGTCTCTGAGGCCCATGGAGGGGGCTGTGTTCTGGCCGCAGACGCTTTACAGGAACTTGTGAAACTGTTCACACATGTTTTTATAAAGATAAGATTCTTTCACTGAGAAACCTCTCCTGGTTTTTAGTGTACTTTACATTGTACCTTAGTGAAGACAACAGTCAAGAAGCACCCTGCTTTGTCACACGTTCCCTTGGAGTAATTCAGGCGACTTGTGGGCCTCTGCAGTGTGACTGAGGCTGCATTTTTAGAGCAGACAGGGTTACAGGCGATCAGAGCGTCACGGGCACCTGGAAGCCCCGCACGAGGCGGTGCAGTATGGTAACCACGTACTGGCTTCTGGAGCGCCGGCAGAGGCACGGGGGGCCTGGACCCTCTGTTCCCTCTGATGGAGGGGTCGGTGAGGAAAGTGGGTAGCAACTCTTTTCTTGTAACGGGGGCTTTGTGTTGGAAACGCCAGAGCCTTCATCACCCTGGCCTTGTTCTTTGACTCCTCCTCCCTCCGGACAGCACCTGGCTGGCCCCGAGGCCGAAGGCACACTTCCTTGTGGACCCAGAGCGTGGCTGTACTAGGAGGACGGAGTGTTCAGGGGGAGAGGGTGATAGGGTCGAGGAGGAGCCTCTCTGTGGTTCCTGTCAGTTTAGACTGAGCTGGGGGCTGTTTATTTCCTGTGGAAGGTCAGTCTCTCTACTGTGCGTTTGTTTGAGTCTTTCGCTGTATCAGGAGTAATTTGCATGCTCAATCTAAGTTGATGGAGCAGTGGATTGGGTTTTAAGTGTTCATACTGAAATTTAGCTTCATTTTTAGGGCTTTGCTAAGTCAGTGTTTGAAACGGCTGTATAACCAGTTTTCTTCACTCGATTTATGGTTTCAGTCTGATTAATACGCGTTATTCTGATTTGCTTAAAAGCTGAGAGCCATCTTGTATCTGAGAACAGTTTAAAAACCAAACCCTGAAGAGTTCTTTGAGTTTAACTAGTGTCTTCCTCACGCACTTCCCGTGTAAGAGAGAGTGAGTGAGTGAGTGATGGCGCGTGACCACGTGTCCCTCCGTGTCCCTGCGGGACTGTGTGCTGCCGAGGCCACCGTCTCTCCGCTCTGTCTCCCTCCTGTTTCCGTGCTTCACAGCCCACGCTCAGTAAACCTTATCTGTTACAGGTGTTGTCTTTGGGTTCATCCCTGCCTGGGACTCTCTACCTCCTAGTAACACGTGGTTGGTGTAAGTTACAAAAACAAACAAGAAAAGACCCCCAGTGATAAGAGTAATTAGTGTTACAAGTTTGAGGTTTACCTTCCTGACTTTCCACGTCCTCCTAGCTCTTTTTAAAAAGAACATGGAGACTGTGATGGCCTGGACTTGTGGAGAGGACTCGAAATGCACACGCAGGCCCTCCTTCTGCGGTTGGCCCCGGACAAGGCGTGGGAACAGTGGGCTTCTCTGAGGCCTTCGTGAGAGCTTCATTCCTGCTTCCTGAGATGTGGCTGGATGAGGCCACTCTTTGCTCTTGTATTGTTTTAACTTTTAAATGTTCTGTTCAACGATTATGCATTTTCAAGACATCTTCTGCCTTACTTTTTTTTTAACTTAAAAACCTGCGCTCGGTAAACTGTCTACTTCCCCTTCCCATCACAATTCCAGATTGTGTCCAGCTTCAAGACTACCACATCCAGGGCCGCATGCCAGTTGGTGAAGGAGTACATCGGCCACAGGGACGGCATCTGGGACGTCAGTGTGGCGAGGACGCAGCCCGTGGTTCTGGGGACCGCGTCCGCTGGTGAGCCCACAGCTAGCCACGCCGCTGGCAGGAGGGGCTGGGCAGCAGTGGGTGCAGACAGCTGGCCTCCAGGAGCCGGTGGCAGGGCGAGCCCTGGAGCCCGCGTGGCCGGGCAGCCTCTGAGGCCACAGCGCTTCCCTGGACTCCCCGGCGGGCCTTCTGCAGCATGAGTGTGGTGCCGTGTCTAGTGGGCCCTCCGTGTGTGGAGTCACTGTACGGTGGAGCAAGTCTTGGTCACTTAGGTATTTTTCACTGGCTTTCCTGTTATCCACAGTCGTTTGTGCATTTGCTTCAGATGCACTTGTCACATTTTTTCCCCACTCGTGAGATCCAACCAAGGGACGTGCTGTGTGGTCCGGTCACGCCGGCCCAGGGCTGAGGTGATGGGGGCTGCAGGCAGCCCTGAGTTCACTATCAGAGAGATCCTTTTCTCCTCACTGGGGAGAATGTGTTTTTTGAAAGCTATTTGAGGTGCATAACCTAGTAACTAACCCTTGAGAAGAAAATTGCTAAAATGAAAAATGGTGCTCGCTTGTTAAAAATGATTTCACCAGCTTGTGAGAAGTTACTCACTAGATTCTGCGTTTTAAGGTGGAAATAGGAAATACTAAAGTAGAGTGATGAAGAGTTCTTTCTTTTTTAAAAAATATGGTCGTATGTGAGCATCCCAGATTATTTTGGAAATTACAGGTAAAAAAGGATACAAAGACCCTTTTCTGTTGTTTCTGAAATCTCTCTTGGATAGTTGGCAGCTTTTTTCAGGCTTCTCTCAAGTCTCCTTTATCTTTTCATTATTATGCCCAAAGAAGTCAAATCCATAGGAACATACGTTATCACCGATAATTTATAGCAGAATTTGGATGCTGCTTGATTTGAATATTGCCTGATGTTCTGAAAAGTCTCAATGTTTCAACAAAATAATGAGCCCTTGATGTGGGTGACCCTGTGACCTAAGTCGCAAGCCTGGTGCAGGCAGTGAGTGCCACAGTGTGTAGGAGTCAGGTCCCCAGATTTCACTGGCCTGTCCCCTGGCCTCGGGCAGGTCACCAGCTTCTCCCATCCTCTTGGAAACGTTTGTTTTTGAGCAGTTGAGTTACGGGGTAGTCAGAGCAGAATTGCAAGAGGAATTAGTGGTAATGTAACTTACCAGTGTTAGGGTTTTCTCTTACTTTTTGTTAAAAAGACCATAAAATCGGCAACAGCTCACTCGTGTTTGTTTCAATCTTGCAGATCACACAGCTCTGCTTTGGAGCATAGAGACGGGACGGAGTCTCGCCAAGTACACGGGTCATGTGGGGTCAGGTGAGCATCCGAACTGCTGGGCATCCTCTCCGACGGACGGGTCTTGGCCTCTAGCTGTGCGAGCCTCATGAAGGGGCATCTCAGCTTCCTGGACAGTGTTGTCCAGAGTGCTGGGTGGAGAGAAAGCCTCACATACTTGGTTTGGAGCTGGGACGCGTGCGCTGTTATTAACAAATCCAGTGTGGCGTGTGTGTTGGGCCTGCGCAGAGTGCTGTCGGCCCTGGGCTCCTTGCCGGCAGAGCGCAGTGGCTCCTCCTGCGGCACCAGTGCGTAGGCCTCCCTTGTTCCTCCCAGCGCCCTGGGTTCCTTCCAGCTGGAGTGCTGTCTCCAGTCTTGTCTGTGATGCTGCCCACCCACCGCTTGCTCACCCCTCACAGCCACTGCCACGCCCTTACCTCTGCAGGGGGACGCAGGGTGCCCCCCACAGACCTGGGCTTGTGGACCCGTCTTGGTCCCTTGGTGGAGGGGAGGAGGTGCCTCGTGTCCCGCCGGGGCCGTGGACCCAGGCTTCTCCCTCTTCTGGGGCGCCACTCCGTCAGGCACCCCTGTTGTCCACTCTCCTCTGTCTGGTCCTGCAGCATGTGAACCAGCTCCTCCCTTTCCCACACAGACGTCTCCCCAGGCCCGTGTCTGGGGGGTCTGCTGGTGCCTGGAGTGGCTACAACACCAGACTTTGTTAAGTGAGTGGTGTGGACTGTCTCTGCTTCCTCACTTCAAATGTACTCTTCAAAAATACTAAAAAAGTTAATATGTATACATAGCCTCCAAATTAAGAAAGGATTAGGCAGCCTGCGTCAAAGTGAACAGCAGCCTCCTGCCTCACCCCTCCTCACTCTCCATCTTCACTTCGCAAAGCAGCATCTGTCTCTCTCCTTACCTTTTGAGTTTTAGAGGAAGAGGTGACTCTGAGGGAGCGTGAGGGTTTACTCACTTGCTGCCCCCGTTCTCCCGGAGCCCGTCCCGCCCGGCAGTCCCAGCGCGACTCATTTCCGTGGGTGTGTGGGTTTCACCTGACCGTGGCTGCTCTGCATGGCTCCCGGCCCACCGTGTACCTGCCGTCCTTCAGTGCTCAGTTTTGTTTTCTGAGGGGAGTGGTGGCCTTTTTCTTTGGCCTCGTTCTGTACCTGTCTGCCCGACGTGGGGCGTCCCTGCACGTGAGTGGGCTCAGCGGGGTGGGTCCCTTTGCTGTCACCCTCGGCCCCTCCCTGGAGCCTTCATCCCTCTGACCTGTTGGCACCCAGGCCTTCCGTATCCCCTGGGCTTTCGTCCGTTTCCTCCTCCCTCTTCTGGGCCCTGTTCCTCCTCCTCCTCTAGGGAAGCCTGTCTTCCGTGGCTTCCTTATTAAAGGTGTCTTAGAGGACGGCTTTTGAGACTTCACGTGCTGGAAAAGTGTATTTCACCCTTACACTCGATCGGTTGGTTGTCTGAATGTAGTTTTCTGTACAGGAGGTACTTTTATTTGGAAGTTGAAGGCAGTGTTCTGTTGGCCTATTTTTGGTAGTTTTTAGGAATGAGTAGAAGTCGAACGCTCTCTTGACTCTTGGTCCTTCTCGGGTGATGGGATGTTTTTCTCTTGCAGACTGTAGGACTTCTGCTTTGTAGGTCTTTTTTGGAAAGAATTATGTTAGGCATTCCGTGGGCCTTGGCAGCCTGTAGATGTCCCTCCTCATGTCCATCGGTCACCTGCGGACCCCAGTGTTTTCTGGGTGTCTCTTCTCATTCTTGTGCATCGTTCACTGTGGCTTTGTGCATATTTCCTTTGGGACTCATGCTGCGTTTGGAGGAGCTCCAGGAGAACAGAGGGACGCTGCCTCGGCACCAGGCTGGTGTTGCCGTGCGCCTGCTTTTGCTCTTCCAGTCGGCAGTGCTCTGACCGTGACCGAGGCTCCTGTGATGAGGGGAGCCTGAGCCCCTGGGGTCTAATCAGTGCAGTGCACTGAAGATGGTTTGACTGTCCATCGCCTGCCTTGTCCCTCTTGGATCCCCGGACAGGACGCCCACTTGTCGACTGGCCCCTCTGCCCCAGGAGAGGAAGTGCCGAGGTTCGCAGCTCCCCTGGGCCTGACAGGTGCATCTGGCCGGGCAGTCCTGTCTCCTCTGCTGCCTCCTCCTCTCAGACCGCAACTCCCGTGCCTGTTAGTCATGCGATCGAGAGACGGCGTGTCTCTGGGGCTCGTGGCCAAGAACTGCTGTCTCTGGCACCCTCTCCTGCTCCACACGTGGCTGCTGGACATCAGGTCAGCCGTGTCTTTAAAGTAGGTGCTGCTGGTGCTGTGGGCGAGCCTGACCTGCTGGGTGTCGGCTCCGCAGCCTCACTGCCCCTGCATGGGCCTCCGGCCCTACTTGCCAGGCGTAGGCAGCCTGTGTCCTGCCCCGTGAGTGGAAACAGTTCCTGGGATAAACGGCCGTGCTGTTGGCGGTCACCAGGCTCGCCCTGCACCCTTCACCTACACCTTGGGGAGCCCGTGAGCAAGCGCTGCCGAGATTCCCACCGTCGTTACGAGTGTGCGGAGTTTACGTGGACGCCGAGAAGTGAAAGTCACCCTTGGAGTTGGGAGCAGTACTGCCGTTTGGTAGCAGCGTGGTCGTAGTTTAGTTGGAGCGGTTTTTCTTGGTTGACCGTTTTTCAGGCCGTCACAGGCTTCACCAGGCCTCCAGTTACTTGAAGGTGGTAATAGTGAAAGAGCACCGTCTTGGTTTTCCAGTTGTTTAGAAAAATGTAAGTCTAACGGCGTAGCTGGAGGAGTCTTAGTGCAGGGCAGTTTGCTGCGGTTTGGTGATGCTCCCCGTCCGTTCTGTGTCGGGCTGCCTGTGTGCGCTGGGTCGGCCCTGTGTCGGGTGGCAGGAGCTGCTGACGGGGCAGGGCCTCTGCCCATCCTGAGCCCTGTCGTCTGCCCAAGGAGAGCGTGGCAGGCAGGAGGGCACAGGACCGGTCTGTCCCCAGACAGTGTCGTGGTGGGGCTGGGGTTTGGACTCCGAGTCCTTGGGCTGCCCGCTGTTCACCTCACAGGGCAGGGCCCATGGCTCGGGCACCACCCTCCTGGTTCTTGCTGGTTATGCAGAAAAGCAGAGCCTCCCCAGAAGATTCCTGCATCTGGAGCGAAGCCCCGGGGCGCATCTCAGCTGTCCTCACCTGGTCCCTAGCTGTCCCGAGCTGTCTGTCCCGGAGCCGGCGGGGTCTGCCTTCCCTGAGTCCCCAGCTCTGCTGGAGCGGAGCAGACTGGGTGTCTGGACGCTGGGAAGGAGGGAGGCGGGCTTGTGGTGTCCCCCACTGTGACCTGCCTCTGCCTGTTAGAGTTATGTTCTCTTTTTTCATCCTGGTCTGCTTTCAACCCTAGACGACCCTATGTGTAAAAAACAATCAGTTGTTCACATTCTTTTCTGTGTATCCCACTCTTGAGCAGTTTGGTAGTTCAGGTTTGGTGTTTTTATATTGTATGTCTGTTCTTTTTAACTTGCACATTGATTCATAGTTTGAATGCAAAGATTCAATGTTGAACTATCAATGTTACAGTTCTAAAGTTTTAAAATTTAACTTTGCAGTATATGCTATAGTTGTAAGGAATATTGATGATACGTTTTTAAACTTGTTTCTTTTTTATTTTGCAGTAAATTCGATAAAGTTTCACCCGTCGGAGCAGCTGGCTCTTACTGGTATGTTGATTTTTTTTCTTTATTGAACAGTTACTTGTTGGTCTTAGACAACAGTCATCTTTCCTTTCTTACCCAGGCCTTTCACAGAAGTTAGTCGTTAGGTATTTTACAAATTACACAAGAAGTGAATAAGGAAAAATACAGTGAGGAGTGCTCTTCTGAACCAGCATGGATTGCAGGTTAGGTGAGCTGGACTTCAGGGTGAGAAGGGACTCGATTGCGTCTTCCTCGACGTCTTCACGAAGCCTGTCACCACCGCCCGTTCTCCGTGCTCAGGCGGGACGCGTCTCGGCGACGTGCCCAGTTCTCTGAAGCCCTGTCAGTTCAGAAATGAGAAAATCAGCAGCCCTGAGCCCCGGTGCTCTGCAGAGCCAGCATATTCACTCCTTTCTGAGGAGCTCTCCCATAGAGAGCTGTGGTAGCTCGTTCTGTCTGAATTTTACGTGGTGGGTTTAGAAACATCTCACTATCGTGTTGAGGGGTTTCCCCGTGAAGTTGCCTGACGCCTGTGCACCCCGGGTGTTCTGTGGACACAGATGGTAGTCTTGAAGGATGTGTCTGTCTAGGCCAGAGGTGGGCAAGCTTTTCTGTAGAGGAACAGAAGTAGGTATTTTCATCCTGAGGGCCGCACGGTTGGGGTCACAGTTGCTCCGCTCTGTTTCTGTGGAAGCCCAGAGACGGCGCGGATGACTGGACGTGGTCCGGGCAGTGACCCTTGTTTATGTTTACTGGGTGGGCAGCGGCCTGGGTCCGGCCTGTGGGCCAGGTTTGTTGACCCTGAGATAGAGGACAGAATTGAGGCTGACTGGGCACTCTTACACGCAAGTGGATCAGGCCGGAAGGTCAGTTTGCGAGCCCTGTTTTAACAGGCCTCGGCCACGGTGGCTCGTTGATAGCTGGATGAGCACTGGGCGGGTGGAGCAGGCGAGGAGTTGGAGCCTTGGTACGTTGACCGTCTGTGGTGGGAAAGTGGAGGGAGACCAGTGACAGCTGGAGGTTGGAGAGGGGATGGAATCACGAGACATGTCAGAAAGCTGCTGTTGGAAATGACCCAGAAAGTCGTGGTCTGGGGAGGGCAGTGCTGGATGGGGGTTTGGATAGGACGCTGATCTGGAGGGAAATGGGAGAGTCAGGCAGTAGGTTCCTTTGACACCACCAGACACGTGCCACCACCCGCCACTTTGCTGAGAAGGTGGAGTTCAGTTCCCCTCTCATGAGGGGAGTTGGGGCGTCCTGTCTGTGCCCCTCTGCCACCCTCTGCCTTCCCAGGCCCCAGCACTGCCTCGCCAGCTTGGCTGGGGCGTGTGAGGGCACGGTGCACGGCTGCCCTGGGCTGTGAGGTGCGTCCAGGTTGAGTGGGCGGGAAGTGTGTGTGGTGGTGTCCCAGGCTGTCAGTTTTCGTAGGTTACGAAGATGGAGGATAGAACCTACAGCGTGTAGATACTCTCTGAGCCTTCACAGCTCTGTACCCTAAAACGAAGGGCGGGTTGTTCTGTGCACTGCTGCTGTTCTCAGTGGCACACTCAGTCTCAGGAGTGGCTGTTTAGGTGACGGTCAGGTCTCGCTAGGGAGGGCTGGCACCGAGGCACGGAGCTCAGCTGGAGCCCGGCACCTGCACGTCTGCACCTGGTGGTAATTCTCCCGTTTCTCTCTGCAGCTTCTGGAGATCAGACTGCTCACGTCTGGAGATACGCGGTCCAGCTGCCGACGCCTCAGCCCGTGGCCGACACTAGTGTAAGCAGCGCACTTCCTTACCCTGAAGGCTTAGCCTGGGGTGTGTTGGTGGGTTCTGGACGCTTGTAAGTTTTAGGACAAACTTAGAGTAACTGTTACGGACTGAATGTGTGTCTCCCCCCACCCCCCAAATTCATGGCGTGAAGCCTTAAGCCCCAGTGTGGCTGCGTCTGGAGATGGGCTTCTCCGGGAGTCACCAGGGTCTAGTGAGGCCATGCGGTGGGGCCCTGATCCAGGATGGGCGTCCGCATGGGAAGGGGCTCTGGCACAGCCCCCCCTGAAGTGAGGAGGGTGCTGCCCCTGGTCCCGCACTGCCTGGCACTTTGTTCTGTGGCCCTAGCAGGCCGGAGCCGTGTCTGAGAAGGCCCAGCCCTGTCTGTCTGACGTGTTTGCCTTCACCCACTTTCCACACATGTACTCGCTCACGTTAGTTCTTCTAAGTTTGATGGTTAGGTTGTGTTGCTTAATTTTCTACGTGTTTGACTTCAGATGGCTTGTCTGACTTTCACACGAGATGAGCCATGTGAGACAGTGGCGTGTGTGATGCCGCCTTTGTGTCGGGACACTTTTGACATTGGTAACAGGAGGTGTTGCCTGCTGAGGGGGCGTCCACGACCAAACTGTTGGGTACGGGTGCGGCAGCCCAGTGCCTCCATGGGTGGCCACGCGGGGTCTCAGTGATCCGTCTGGGCGACCCCGTCCCCTACTCTCTGCCCAGGGCGGCTCTTGCTGGAGTCCGCACAGCCAGCCCTCCTGCCCCTCCTTCCAGGTGGACGCGGTCTGCCAGGCGGAGCGCGGACGGCGTTTACGTAGTCAAGCAGGAGTTTCATGAGCATTAGAGGTGGTGGTGATATTCTACTTTTGGTATTTCTGCCTTTGAGTATTTCTTTGCTTTTTTAAAGACCTCCTAAACATTGTTCTGTTTGGAGACAGACTAATTAATACATTCCAGTGATGAGTAAAAATGAGTTTTTTTAATTAAAAAGCATTTTTTTGCTTGTTTTTTTGTGGGGAGAGGATTAATTACATTTATTTATTTTTAATGGAGGCACTAGGAATTGAACCCAGGACCTCGTGCATGCTGGGCACACACGCTGCCTCTGAGCTATACCCTCTCCCTGAGCTTTCTTTAGTTGAGGTCTTAACAATTTGTTTCTGATTGATTGTATTACACATTCTGTCGTAACAGTTTTTCCCCGTGTGAAGTGACCAAACTGTCATGTGCTCTGCTTAATGCACGTGTCCACCAAAGACACGTGAGCACTGAGGGAGGAGAGGGCAGAGATGAGGGTGAGGGTTAATGCTTAGAAAGTTTAGAAAACGAGTTAACATTGTATGTATTTTTTTTCCCAAATAAAATTTTAAAAATACTAATTTTGTCAGAGGGAAAATTACGTACAGTACTTAGACTAAAAAAACGTAATGGCCTACTTACAATGTAAAGTTGGCTTTATTTTCTTTAGGATTTTGCTTGCATTGAGTGCAGGGACTCTTTTGGCTTGATAGTTGCTGCCTCAGGGTTTGGGAGTCCCTGGGGGTCCTGGCCTGAGTTAGGGGCGCGTCAGAGCCCTGCGGCTTCTCCTCTGAGGATGGCGCTGTGTCGCTGCCACTTGTCACTTCCCTCCGGAGTGCTCAGCGATGAGCCCGTTAGGGACAGGCTGTGGTCTGGGGGCAGCGGTGACACTGTCAGGAAGTTTGAGGTTACCTTCCACTCGTCCCCTTTCCTGTCTCTGCTTCCACCCAGCCCTTGACACCTTGCTGATCCTGGTTCCTCAGTGGTGCTGCGATCCACTTTTGTCCCCCTCTGCGGAGCATCCCCCGTTGGGGTGGGGTGCGCAGGAGCTATGGCCCACCTGGCACTCTTCTGCACTTGCTGGCAGAGCCATCCAGACTTCCCTGCCCGCCCCGGGGCCAGGAACCAGTCCAGTCCGAAGGAAAGCCTCGGGCCGTGGCGTTCCTTTCAGGAGTTTCTGGTGAACTGTTGTTCCTCCCCACCCAGACAGGCCTTCCCATCAGAGCTCAGCCGAAGGGGAGGGTCCTGTGACCTGGCTGCCATCGCCTCTGGGCCAGGTCCCTGACTCAAGACTGGCTGTTCGTCCAGTCTCTCCTCTCTACGACCAGGGTGGGCCCTCTGCCGGCCCGCCATCCTTGGTGCGCTTTCCTGCCCCAGCCCTGCTGGACACTCCTGCTTCCCTTACCCCGTGCCTCCTCCCCCTGCCCCACCCTTGGGTGGATCTCGCAGAGCGGGTCCTTTGTAGCGACTTGATGTAGAGAACTTGACACAGCTCATTTCTGCCTAATGTTCCCGTGGGTGGTGAGCTCTCCTCTCCCTGGAGGAGATGCGCACCCCTGGTTACGTGCAGCTTTTTCTGTCCCCTCCCTGGACGTGGAGTGGTCTGTGCAGGGCAGCCCACACCCCCAGTGGCTGCCTCATGGCCCTTCCTTTCCGCAGACTCCCCTCCCTCCTGCAGCACTCAGACCCAGCAGCCATCCTTAAACCACGCCAGCCCTCCACCCTGTGGCCCCCTAGGCCCCGTGTCATGGCTCTTCCTGTGCGACCCCAGACCTTCCCTCCCTGGACACACGTCTTGGTCAGCTGTGTGTCCCTTTGCAGCCGGGCCTCGCTGGTCAAGTCCCCCACGTGGCCCCCAGCATGCACTGTCACCTGCTCCTTGGCTTCTCTGTGTGTGTACACATGACACGTTTCCTTACACTACATGTGTGTACCTGTGGCATGTGTTCCCACACTGTTGTATTTGTCTCTGTGCACACGCATGCCCACGGGTGTGATCTGGCCTCTGTGCTAGCATATAAGCTCTGTCTCTCCCGGCCGCAGTGCCCCCCCATCACCTGCCTGCACTTTGTTCCACGTGGACGTGTGGGACAGCGGCCGTCTCCCCATCTCTGCAGTGTGACCAGCATTCGGTCTGGCGCTGTGTAAGCACTGGATGAGTATTTATTGAATGAGTAAACATATTTTCTTACAGACTGGAAGCCTAGGTGACTGTTAGGTTTTTAGTTTATCCTCAGCTTTGGGTGAAAGACTTTATTGGTAACTTAGGAAAGTAAAGTGGACTCTCTCATGTCTGTTGATACAGCAGCAGAATTCTAAGTGAGTTTTAAACAGGCTCCTGAGAAGTGGAATGTTCCTGTGTTTGATTGTGATAAGTTACTGACTTTCAGTTGTTTTATATTTGTACTCATCTGTGATGGAAACTTAAAATGTTGAAAATGATTTTATTTCCCTATGAGTTTGGTTAGTGGAAATGAACTGTGGCTTTTTTGGTGTCATAGCTGCCTTCATTCTTTTCTTCCTCTGTTTGGCCCTGGGTTTTAGCCAAGTAGATGGTTGTGAAGTTGGTAAGCGGTCACTGAGCACCACTCAGTGTATTGGTCATGGCGGTGATTAAGTCCTGGGAAGATGGCAGCAGTCAGGCTGTGTCTGGTGCCCGGATCCCCCAAGATCCCAGCGGACCTGTCTGCTCTCCCCGGCAGCAGGTGTGCGGTGAGGACGAAGTGGACTGCTCTGACAAGGACGAGCCTGAGGCGGATGCGGACGTGCCCAGTGACTGCCCCACCGTCCGGGCACCACTCACGTCTCTCAAGAGCCACCAGGGAGTAGTCATAGCCGCCGACTGGCTGGTCGGGGGGAAGCAGGCGGTGACGGCCTCCTGGGACCGGTCGGCGAACCTGTACGACGTGGAGACGTCCGAGCTCGTTCACTCGCTGACAGGTACTCGGACGCTTGCGTCTCCCGGAGTGCTTTCCACCCAGGTGCGCATCTGTGTCTTACCTCACGCGTCCCTCCTGGTTTGGACTGTTTCTCGTTCTCAGAGACCCTTTTTAGTTAACAGAACTGTGGGCAGTTAAATCTGTTTTATTTTGGGGGGTTTAACTGCATGTAGATACATGTGGCATCTGGATATTTGACATATGGTTGGTGCATCAGTTTTCTTTGTAACAAAGTTCCACAGACTTAGTGTCTTAAAATAACACGACTTCATGACGTTACGGTCCCTGAGCCAGGACTTCTGGGCGCCTGCTTGCTGTCCCTCTTCTCAGGGTCTCGTGGGTGGAGTGATGTCGGCGGGGCTGAGCCCTCACCTGAGGACTGGCAGGAGGATGCCTCTCCTTGTGGCCCCGACTCAGATCTTGTTTTCCTGCCGGTTGTCAGCTGGGGACGGTTCTCAGCGTCCACGGGCTGCCCTCAGCCCCTCGTGGCCCCCCTGGGCATTTCAGCACATGCTGTGGGCTTTTTTCCAGGCCAGCAGGAGAGCATCTCTGCCCTGACCCCTTAAAGGGCCCACCTGATTAGGTCAGGCCCACCCAGGACAAGCTTTCCTTTGATTAACTTAAAACCATTGATTTAGGAGCCTTACTAGCTAGATCTTAGTTAAATCTGCAGCATCCATTTTGCCTCATAAATTACCAAGATTACCAGGATGCTGTCTCACTGCAGGCTCTGCTCAAACACAAGGAAAGGTACAGAGGGCATGGACTCGGGGTGAGCGTCTCTGGGCCGTTTTAGAGTTCTGCCCACTGCAGGCATGCAGACGTGCGCTTCCTCAGTGAGCGACAAAGATTGTGCTTTACTGAGTGCTCCAGACGTCTCATCAGAGCTTGCTCTGGAATGAGGAGTTAAGAATTAATTTGTTTGCACACTCAGCCTGTTGGAGACTTGCCAGACCTCTAACTGTCGGGGTCAGGAGTGGGTCCCCTCACCTGTGTCCTGCTCCTTCAGGACCTCCAAGGGGAGGTGGGCTCCTCTGCGACCCTCAGGGTCACTTCTCCGGGAGCAGGGTGGTGGGACCGTGTGTTGAAGGCCTCGCTGTGACCGCCTGCCCCGTCGTCTTCATCGCAGGGCACGACCAGGAGCTGACGCACTGCTGCACGCACCCTACCCAGCGGCTGGTGGTGACCTCCTCCCGTGACACGACTTTCCGTCTGTGGGACTTCAGGGACCCTTCCATCCACTCCGTGAATGTTTTCCAGGGCCACACAGAGTGAGTCAGTTGTTCAGCTGTTCGTGAAGCAGTTTTGTGGATGGATGTTAAAGTTCAGTGCTAGCTTTAAATTTCAGCGTTAATTTCCAACTCTGCTGTCTTACCCAGTGGCTGTTCTTTCCCAAAACCTTTAGCTCAGTTTTGGAGATTTGAGGGAATTTCAGAGACCGAGAGGAGTACCTGATGATCCCTCCAGAACCGGTGGGACAGGAGGGGCTGGGGGCAGATGTCACTCAGGGAGGTGACACCGGAGCAGCTTGCAGCCCTGCAGGGTCGCTCTCGTCCAGTGCTGGTGGTACACGAGCTTGGGGGCTGCTCCTTCTGAGAGGAGACACGCAGACACTGACCCTCGTCCCAGCAGCCCCCACCGCCAGCTGTTGGGTGGCTCCTTGGGCAAGGCCGTGTCCTAACAGAGCCTTTTCTTTCCATGAACCTGTTCCTCCCCGTCTGACCTTCCCAGTGAGCGATGTGGCCGTGTGTACAGCCCACAGACCTCCCTTTGCCCCCTGGCCCCATCGGGCCTGCAGGCAGGACTCCTGTCCCGTCACACCTCCTGGGCGTGTCCGGTCCCGGCAGCTGCCCCTCCGGTGTCCCTGTGTCCCTCCCGCAGCCATCTCTTCAGGTGCTCCGTCTCGGGAGCGTGAGCTCAGCTCCGTTCCCTCTGTTTCACCTTCTGCTGGTTAACCTCGGGGCTGAGCTCTAGGTTTCATGTTCAGAATTAATGCACGTTTGACAGGAGGCCAGGGCAGGGCTGCTCAGGAAGCGGGAGGCTGGAAGGCAGCTGAGGTGGAGACGGGGGCCCTGGGCCCTGGGCCCCGAGGTCTGGGTGCAGCAGCCGCTCGTCCTGCCGCGGGGAGGCGTTATGTTCAAATACCTGTTTGATTTGTGGCCTAGCTTTGCGGCCGGTGGTTGTGTGAAATGGTGGCTGCTTTAGGAAAGTGACCGGGTCCGAATGTTCCAGTGGGATGGTCTCTGGTGGGAGCAGGAGCGGCTCAGAGTGGACAGGGCGCCGTGTCCAGCCCAGGGCCTTTCCCCCTGGGTCCCCCAAGACGTCGGTTCAGGCTGGTGTGCGCTGTCACCCCGAGGACGGGTGACCTGGGGGTGAGAGTGGAATGCATGTGAAGCACCGCTCTTACTCAGCGTTTACAGGCTTTCTTCTCTTACGCGTGTTAGGGTGAACTAGCGTGTTGTGTTGGTGTGTAGACACAGAAATGAGTCTCAGGACGTTCTCTCTTTGGCACTAGTTTGCTGTGGTATCAGGGGGAAGCCTCGCCTTCTTTTATGGCTGTGGGATTGGCGGGGCCTGGCGGGGGTGGCTCCCCCATTCCCAGTCATGGCCGCACTGGGCCCCGCAGGCTGCACAGAGGCTCATGCCGCCTGGTCAGCAGCGGGGGCTGCAGGCCGCGCTGGCCCTTTCTAGGCAGCTTTCCCGCATTAGGCCAGCAGTCAGCCCCTGGAAACACATGGGTGTCTGAGAGACTTTGTGCAGGGTTTCCGCCCTGGGCTCTTCCTTGTCAGTGTTGCCTCCTAGGGTTGGGCGTGGTCGTCTGGGGTCGAGCCATGTGACCATGGAGGCCCACGGAATGCAGTCCCCTTGCACATGGGCGTAAGTGTGCACCCCCGCAGAGGCCCCCAGCAGCAGAACCAGACGCATGAGCCCACGAGGGCCTCTTTCCAGAAGGAGAGCAGAGGCGGGGCTGCCCCTCACCCACGGTGCTTGGCAATCTCCTGCCTCCCCGTGCTGTTGGGGATGGATGCCTGGCGCCCTGTGCTCAGTCCTGCCCGCATTCAGCCTCAGGCACAGAGCCTGTCCTCTCCGGAGCTCGCTCCTGGGCTGGGAGGTGACTGCATTTTTCAGGGATGTTTTCTTGATCCTTTTAACTTGATTCTTTTCTGAAGGTTGAAGGTGGCACTCAGATGTGCTGTTCTCAGGAGCTTACGCTGTTCTTTGCTTGTTGGTGTTGCCCTGAAAATTCCCCGTGGCATGCTTTAGTGGACAATTGCTAAAACAGAGACAGTATTTCTTAAAAATACGTTAACATGGTGTGGAACACACTTTGCAAAAGCTTTTCTTAGGGTGTATTTCTATTTTTAGGGACTCAGTACAGACTTGAGTAAATGCTAGACTCTTATGTCTTTTCTAATGTGTGTGAGTCTCTTGACTATCCAGGAAATTTGAGTTTTCTGTGTTGGGTTTTTTGGGGGAGGACGTGGCTTCAGCATCGATGGCTTAGTTCTGTAACCCTGTTTCTCTGGGAGCAAGATTCTTCCTCCCTTTTTGTTTTCTCTTTCTGTTGCCCTTGGACTTCCACGTGGGTTCTGCCCCTTGAAAAGTAAGTTTGCGGTGTGGCCTTTCACCGTGAGATGGAATCCGTAGCCCGACGGGTGCCCTGGAGGTTTGCGCTGCATTGTTTTTGCTGGGAGGAGGTAAGAGCTCCTTGGTGGGGCTCTGGTTTATTTTTTCATTGTAAATTTTTAAAAAAGACAAATAAGCCCTTTTCTTTTTTGATGTGACACATTTATTTTCCCTTTGTGTCATGAAATTTCCTCATTTTGTTAGGAAGTTTAACACAGTAGATTTACTCAGTGGGTGGCTGGGTTACTTGACCTGCTGCTAGTGGCCCAAGGTGAACCAGTTTACATGAAAAGCGTAATTTTACGTATCTTACTCAGCAAACTGTTTTCCTAGTAGCGGGAGTGAGAACTTAACAGTGCGCACTGTTCTTGGAAATAACAGAAATGTTTAATTGGAAAACTTGGGAATGTTACAGGAATTCATCTGTTGGCAGTTTATTTCTTATATATCTCTGTCCGCGTCAGGAGCGGGAACTGAAACCCAGTGCTTTTTATCCAGAATGAGCTGAATCCTTATAGATGCATGTGTTTTCCACCTGACAGTGTAACTCTGGAAGTGAGCGCCTTCAAGACTTCTTGGCGGGGACAGTGTGTGTGGTGCTCTCTTGGTGGGGCTGGGCTCTGGCCATGTGGGCTGCGGATGCAGAGACGTTTCGGCCAGCAGCTCTTACTACAATGAGATCTGTTCTTGGGTTAAAGCCGCGCCTGCCCTTTGAGAGACCCCCATGACACGGTCCTCGAACAGAAGGCCCAGACCCTCCTCCCAGCACTGCCGCCTCCTGCAGAGCTTCCTGGAGTCCTCACCCTGCCGTTTTCAGTTTTGTTTTGTTTCAGTTGCTATAAAAAGGGCCTGACAGTTGAGGCAGTCACTGGTCATTAAGCTTCCCCTGTGGGTGGCCAACGACTGCAGCCTGTGCCCAGCTGACAGTGTTGACACGTGCACGTGAGCTCTGGCGTTGACACCGGCTGGATACAGCTCAACGCGGGGGGTGTCTAAGAATGCAAAGTGTTTTCCTTTCTGCTTTGATTCTTTCCATGATTGTAACTTTTATCTCCCAAGTGGGAACTTGAGCGCTTTCTTTTAGGGAAGGCGAGGCACCACATCTAACCAAAAAAAAAAAAAAGAAAGCTGGAGACTATAACGTTGCTTTAAAGTTAGGACATTTTTGTATGTGTTCATTGCTAAATTCCCAGAGGAGATAATTAGTGCTAAGCACTGAATTCTAGATCGTATGCTTACCAGGGTGAGAGTAGCTTTGAATTTCGTGTTGTGCTGTTGACAGTTTTCTTTACGGTTTTAAAGAGAAAAAGTGTTCTGACAGCATGACATTTTTAACTGGGTGGTGGTTCCACTGAAGTATTGAGTTCTGTGCTCAGCAACACAGCTTGTGGTGGGAGGGGCCGACTGTGGGCGCACCTGCTCTGGCTGGAGGTTGGTCACTCCTGTTGGTCTGAAGCACAGGAGAAACGAGTGTCCTGCTGTGCGGCTTCCTCCAGGGCCTGGAGCAGGCTCCAGATGTGCCCCTCGGGGAAGTCACTGCTGCGGAGGGAGGGGCCCTGGGGCATTGCAGTGGCTGTAGAACTTGAGCCTCATCCTCTTCCCCCCGCCTGGGAGTCTGCTTCTGTTTCTCTTCATTTAGATGGATCGAGAACAGTTTCACTCGGGAAAGTGCAGAGACTTGTGTTCCTGGTGATGGACGGTTGGCACCTGGGGCTGCCGTGACACCAAGGCTGGCCGTGCGAAGTCCCAGTAAATTGCCCCGTTTCAGGTTTTCTCAGCTCCGGTAGCCTGGAGAGTCTGCTCAGATTCATAGAGACCTGGACGGCAGCAGAGGTGGTGTAGGGCGTGTTTCTGGGAGTTCTCCTGGTGTGCATGAACGTTTGTCTGTCTTGTGGTCATGGAAACGGCGAGGAGGCACGAGCGTGGCGCGGGGAGGTCTCGGGGTTCTCTGTGTCGGCGGCAGGGGCTGCTCTGCCCGCCCCCCCTTGGCCGCAGCTGGTAGAGTCCGAGGAGACTTAGTAGCGCTCCACTTACCCTTTTACAGAAGTCCTCGTTGGAGAAGGGCTGATAGTAACTAACAAAAACAAGGACTTCAGGGAGGTCAGTGAGTGTAGACCCCTCCTCTCTTTCACGAAGGGGACCGGACAGGGCACAGACCAGCACCCGCCTGGCTGGTTCTGGCGCATTTCTTCAGAGGCACATCTGGACCCGGCTCGGGGATTGGAGAACCGGCCGGGGGACTCAGTGCTGAGCGTGGGAGCAGCTGCCCGAGGCGGAGCCGGGTCTGGGGAGACAGTGGTGACGCGTCCGTGCCCGGGCCTAGTCACCGTGGGGCTTCCCTGTGTCCTCGGGGCTGCCGTGGGCACGTGGGGGCTCTGCGGGCCTCCGCAGCCTTGGGTGCGCGTCCGTGCCTGCGTGCTGTGCCCTGGGCTCTGCGCCTCCGCTCCGGGCGCGTTGGGTGCGCTTGTTTTCCCGCGACCCCATGGTCGCTTTGTGCCATTTGTGCTGGGGCCTCGTGTTTTCTCTTTTTCTTTGTTACCAGATCTCTTCTCTCTCATTGCTCCTAATGTTTAACTGACACAGCAGTAAAACCAGCCCTGCGTGGACACCCTGGGGCCATTCCTGTGCAGAAAGTCCCGAGTCCAGCGGCTGTAGGAGTTTCCTCTGCTTTCCGAGTTAGTCACGTGCACACATCTGAGGAGTGTGTGTGGGACCCTGTGAAGGAAGAGGTTGTGAACGTGGTCTGGGTGCCTGAGTAGCCTTGGTCTCCTTGGGGAGACAAGACCAGTACACGAGACGGAACAAGCCAGGAGTATGTGGAGCGGAGGGCTGCACTTAGTCCGGAGGACGCGGGACCGAGGGTCGTCACCCACCTGGTCTGATGACTGTGGCTCGTCCAGGTGACGGGGCATCTCAGGGCCACATGGGCCGCTGCAGTTCCCATGCTTTAGTTTTGTTTCCCTGGACGCTAGAGCGGCAGGTGCAAAGTGGCCCCGGGACCGGAGGCAGCAGGTGCATGTGCTCAGCTGTGCAGCCGAGCCTGGAGCGCGGACTGGGCGTAGCAGGTTGTGCTGCTTCCCGTGAGTGCCGTCGCCGTGGTGGGGGCTGAGCTGACGGTGGGGCTCCGTCCGCAGGCTGCGCTGGCTGCTGACACATTTCCCTCTTTTGGCTGCAGGCTCCCCAGGTCCCCTGCCTGCACACGGGGCCTGCAGTCCTGTGGCTTCACTGAGTCTCATGTTCCTGTACCTGGACCTTAGCTTGAGGATTGTATCTTGACCAGAGCGTAACAGGCTGAGGAAAGGGTTTTCCTGTCGCAGGATTTTGCAGTTACTTCCCTTCCTGTGCAGTCACGTCTGCCCTGGATCTGGGGAAGGGGCACCTGTGCTCCCTGGGCCAGGCAGCTCTCCTGTATGTCTGGCCTGGCGCCTGGTCCTCCCACGCCGTGGGCAGCTCTCGGGACCCAGAGTCAGCCCTCGGGTGACCGCACACCGTGTGTGACTTCTGCACAGGCGCCGACGCCCTGAGGTGGACGAGGAGATGACAGGGGTGGGCGGCTGTGCTGGTGACACGGCACTCCCCAAGGCCGGGTCTGCTGTCAGTCGCCGTCCCCGCCTCCCTGGGGAACCACGGGTTCGTCCTGTGCCCTCACCCCTCCATCTGGGCAAGGTATGCAAACTGCTGTGGGAAGCTGGCTACTGATGCCACGGGCCCGTCTGTGTTCGCAGAGGTCAGCCACGCTTCCTTTCACACGTATGGGAGCCTGCACGTCTGCATACGTGTTGCAGTCTGTGCAGCCCGGGTCACTTCTCAGGGGCTCGTTGCCTGGGCGCCAGGCATGTGTGTGTCTCTACACACCCGATGTGCTCGGGGGACGCGGGTCTGGGCGCAGCAGGTCTGGCTGGGTGAGCAGTGGTGCAGATGGGACGTCTCTCCTGATCCTGAGGAGGGAGGGGCCCCCGGGGAGCAGGGCCTCCTCCTCCAGGAGCAGCTGGGTTTTATGTTGAAGAAGAACCTGTGATACGGATTTGATTTTTCCTTTGAGTGTTTTTCCCGTAGGGTCTGCTGTTTGGGAGCTAGCCTTTAAGGGCTGTTGAGAAGTGTTTCATTTGGAGATGAGTCTTCTGTTTCTTGGGTGTCTGAAGTCTTGAGACCCGGGCTGATGAGTTGCTAAATCTGAGGGCCCTCGTGGAGGAAGAGTACCTGCTCTCAGGGTGTCTGCCTGAGACGGCTGTGTCTGTGAGGCCAACTTCTGTGCCTTGAGCACGCAGCTCAGAGAAAGGTGGTCGGGAGGGGCCATGGGGTCTGACCCCGGGCCCAGCGGGTTTCCCCTGCGGGTGGTGTGGGCACAAGAGGCGCTCTGGGCCTTCCCAGGTCTCCCTTCACAGGCGGCTGAGTCCCTGTGAAGGTTCACGAAGATTTTTTTTTAAACACAAACTTCTGTTGTATTTCAGTGTCGTTTATTGAGGAGTGAATGAGGCCACTGCCAGACATGCCAACGACACTTCACGTTGAAGGGCTGGAAGCTGAGCCAGTGCGTTAGCCTTCTGGGGAAAAAAATCGAAAGTGACATGAAGTAGCGCCTTCATACTTACCGCTGTTTTTGTCTTCAGCCTCTCGTCAGTTTTTGGATCTACTAGTTTGCTGGGCAGAAGGCTTCTTTCTACCCTACAGAAAGGCTCACACTCCAGTGAAGAGAGTTAACACTGGTGTGTAGCAGCTTGTGCTAAACATCTATGCTGAACTGGTCTTAACAGCTGTTTTGTCTTAAATTTCCTTGTATCTAATGAGAAAAGTTCATCTTATGCCCCTCTCCCCTCCGTGTGGGTGGGTTACACACTGGAAGAATGGTCTTCGGGGCTGCTGCAGGGCTCGGGGGGGCCACCCCAGGGGTGGGGCGGAAGTCCCCTTCATGCCGTCCTGAAACTCAGCCTGCGGCTCTTCCTGCTGCTGTGGCTTTGAAGGAGAACGGCCTACACACAGCTCTGCCGTTCTCTTTTGCTCAAAAACAAAACAAGAAGCCTAAACAAAAGGGTGAACGGTTCTTTGGAGCTGGTTTTCTGGTGGTGATGCTAAGGCCTGGGCCCTGCTCCTGGAGTCTTGCTCGTCTGGTCTGTTCTTCTGGGGTGAGTGTTACTGTGGCTCGTTGGGAGCCCTGCAGCCAGGGCCCGACGCGGTGCCAGAGAAGCCCACCGCCTCGGCGTTTCCTGGGCGGCCGCCTCCACATCATCTGGTTGTTTCCTTAGCCGTGAAATTTTGGCAGATTGTCATGCAAAACAGCCCCGTGTCCCGCGTGGCTGGGCCGGCAGCTGCTGGTCCTGATGAGGAGCGTTAGCTGGGGCCTCCGCTGATGGGCCACAGAGGGAGTGGAATGTTCCAGGCCGGGCAGTGGTGTGCGGCGGGGCGGGCGCGCCGGCAGCCGGGGCGCACACTCGGCTGCTCCCAGCGACAAGACAAATGAGGCGCCATGGTTTGGCAGCGGCTGAGCTGCTCCAGGAGCGGCAGTGGTGTACCCGCCCCCTGAGGACTGCATCGGAGGCCCTGGAACGGCGGCTCTGCGCCAGCTTCTGCCTTTGATGCCCCACAATGCCTGTCAGGACGTGATTTATTGAAAACCTAACGTCTTTCAGCACTTCATTAGCATAGGGCTCGATGGTCTTTTGTGGAGACTTTTTCATTAACTCAGCAGAATGGTAATGGAGATTTACCTGGGCCAGACCTCCTGAGGCCAGTCCACAGAGACGTCTTCCCTGGAGCCCGCCTGTGACCTTGGCGGAAAGGAGCACCCATACCGCATCTTCTGTTGTCCTCGGGCTCACCCTCTTGTCCCCCTTTCTCCTGGTGGCACACATGGCCTTTGGCTTGGACGACGTGTCTTCAGGGCCCGTCCACGCCGGCATGGATGGCAGCGGTGCCTTCTTCCTGGCTGAGTAGCGTTCCATTGCACACAGGCTGTGTCGTCTATCCGCACATCCGCTGGGGGACACACAGGCTGCGCCCGTCACTTGCTGTT